TAATCATTAATGAGGTGGAAACAACTTTACTTGTGGTGAAATTAAAACCTGTCAATGCTTTGGTGTTGAAAACACACACAAGCCACGATGAACTTGTTCTTATGCACATTATACCTTGATGCATCCTCACCTTGGTAAAACAATTGACAAATTAAAAGCGTGCCATCCCTGTGGTGTGTGTTAGAGCAGGAACATATGATATCATTACACCACGAAAACATGTTCCAGAGGGAAAAAATAATTCTTGAGGCAAAAGCGCGGGGGGGGGGTAACTCAGCTGAGGAACAAACTACTGGCGAAAAAATTACTTTGTTTCGTGTTCTGTCCGCCCAGGACTATTACCACTTTTCTTTATATACCTTATAGATCAGGATGTCTGTGCATTCAATATCTTTACACGACATACTCACAATCTCTCATTGTGAATTTTAGTGTTTCTAAAATGATATCATTGTTTGCAGCTTATGAGTTACATCATTTACCTCTTTAATCAGTGATTTTCTTTAGAAAGTATTACTTTACATCCTACAAGTCAAATTTAAAAAGATGTTCATAATTCTTGTTTAGTGTGTTAACGAACATTATTCGGCATCTTAAAATACTAATGCATAATATTTCTCTACTCTACTGTGTCCCGTTCTTTAGGTATGTTACGACAACTATATCTTGTATTTCTGTTTGCCCATGAAACAAATTGTGGTACTCCACCATCCATACTCGGCACACACTAATCAAGCGGACCAATCTTCACACCACACCCACACACACACAACCACACACACACACACCACACACACACACACGACACCACGCCACACACACACACACACACCGCACAAATAAACCCAAAAACAAACACAACTCACCCACAGCATAGAAAGGAAAGAGAAAGAGGCTCTGAGAGAAGCTTGGGGAAGGGATAAGTGGGAAGATGCATAGATGTGTATGTACATATATATATATAATATATATATATATATATATATATATATACTAATATATATATATATATATATATATATATAATTCAGAGAATAGATAGATGAGTATAGATAGATTAGAGAGAGAGAGACAAACAGATTGAAAAAGACAGAGATAAGATATAGATATGATAGATATTATAATAAATAGATTACATAGCTAAAGAGAGATAGATAGATTGAGACAGGGACACAGATTATAGCTATACGTCTAATTATATATATATATATTATATAAATAATAGTCTATATATAAATAGTGTGTGTAATGGTGTGTGTGTGGTGTATATTGCGTGTGTGCTGTTGTCGTGTGTGTCTGTGTATGTGTGGTGTGTGTGTGAAAAATCTGTACGGGACTTCAGGTTGTGTATGTGTGTGTGTGTGTAGATAATAGAAGACAGAGAAAGAAGAGAGAGAGAGATGAGAAGAGAGAAGAGAGAGAGGAGATGGAGAGGAGAGAGAAGAGAGAGAGAGATGGAGGGAAGATGAGAGAGAGAGAGAGAGGGATAGTGAGAGGAAGGAGGAAAAAAGCCAAGAGGGAGAGAGGACAGAGAAACAAGATGACAGAAAGGGAAAAAATATTGGAACAAATACAAAAACAAAAAGGAAAAAAAAACAGCCCAGATTGAGTGAGGAGGAAAGAGAGAGACCAGAGAGAAGAGAGACGAGAAGACATGACATAGATCCCTGGGAGAGACAGATCTAAAGAGGAGAGGACAGGACAGAGAGAGAGAGAAGAGCGAGGGAGAGCAGATTGGATGAGAGAGAGAGAGTGAGAAGAGAGGGCTAGAGAGAGAGAGAGAGAGAGAGAGAGAGAGAGAGAAGAGACGGCGAGATGAGATGGCTGAGAGGATCCAGAGAGAAAGTTGAGAGAGATGTGAGTAGATGGGAGAGGAGGAGAGGAGAGAAAGGACATATGAGTAATAGTTGGATGCAAGGAGGAGAGATGAGACGAGAAATGTAGCGAAGAGAGGGAGGAGGAACGGATGAAGAGAGAGGAGAGAGGAGAAAGAATGAGAGATTGAGAGGGAATGTGAGAGGAGATGGAGAATGAGGGTCTGAACTCTGCTCGTACCTGGCGCTAGTTCCGTCTGCGGTTCAGACAGCGCGTCGGCTGGTCGAATCAGTCGCAAACGGCGGCTGACTATTCTGCATGCTACGGTTCAGCACACCTTTGGCGGGCGGCGGTAGCTTCCTGCTGGCGGGCGTTAATCTTCAACGCCTGCCTCGGTAAACGCAGTTGCCTGAAACCTGTGCTTGTGCAGAATTCCTTTTGCCCCAGTACGTACGCGCTTCACTTATTCGTACGCTGGTGTTTATGCCTCGACGGACTTCTCGATATGGTGGTTTCAACCTCGGCTTAAGCCAGCTGATCCAGATCTCTCGTACCGGGCTGACCTGCTATTATCCGCCGTGGTAATCGCACTGGTTGTATTAGAGTTTTTACACGCTCATGGTAGGACATAATGTCGTCCCGCGTGAGTTGCTCCGCCGAATGTATTTATCAGCCCCTGCTTTTT